ATATATATATATATATATACATGTATGTGTGTATATATATATGCATTTATATATATATATATATATATATATATATATATATATATATATGTGTGTGTGTGTGTGTGTGTGTGTGTGTGTGTGTGTGTCATATATTCGTGTGTGTGTGTGTCTTTGTGTGTAGATGTATAGGCATGTGTATGTATGTATATATATATATGTATATATATATATATATATATATATATGTGTGTGTGTGTGTGTGTGTGTGTGTGTGTGTGTGTATGTATGTATATATATATATATACATATATATATATACACGTGTGTGTATATGTATATATATATGTATATATATCCCAATGGTGCCGGGGAAAATGAACAAAAAATGGGGAAAATATTGTACCCACTTTCTATGTTTTTCGTGAAATGTCTGCCGATAGATGGCTCTGCTAGCGCCTGATTTAAATGGCGAGTAAAACGTATTTTTCACTAGTGCTATGAAAATCGATGGTGTTATTTTTATCATAAACATTATAATTTTTTAATTTTTTTTACATAAGTAACAGCAAAATAAGATTACGTAAAACATTTTGTAAATCAAAGAAACGGGTAAACGGGCGAGACGGGCGGGGCTCGTAACTGGCTCATTGGTGATTTAGTACAAGTGTTGCCATCTATGCGTAAAAACAATCAAACAAGTACTCACTGTGGGCATAGTACGTACGTACACGTCATACCCGGCACCAAGGGGATATATATATATATATATATATTTATATATATGTGTATATATATATATATATATACATGTGTGTGTGTATATATATGTATTTATACATATATATATATATATATATATATATATATATATATATATATATATATATATATATCTGTGTGTGTGTGTGTATGTATGTCATATATTCGTGTGTGTGTGTCTTTGTGTGTAGATATATAGACATGTGTATGTATGTATGTATATATATATATATATACATACTTATATATATGTATATGTGCGTGTGTGTGTTGCGTGTGCGTGTGAGTGCGCGCGTGCATGTTAGTATGTGGATGTGCATGCATGTATCTCATATACTCATTAGCTGTCTCCCTCCCCAAACATCTCCAGGGCTGCAACGGCGTGACTGTGAACCTAACTTGCCAGCAGACTCAACAATATTTTTCCTTCATCGTGGACGCCGTGAGCTCTTCATACAGTTACATCACCATGACGTGTAAAGACGGACAGTGGAACATGACCTGGCCTGGCAACGTTAACTTTTTACGTGTTTTGCCTGGCTGTACTGAAGGTGAGATTTTAGCGGTAAATAAAGGAGAGAGAGAGAGAGATCAGTAAGGTCAATGGAAATGAATGATCCGGATGGGTATATTTGATTGATTTCAATTCTTGATCATTTATCTCTATTTCGCTTTCATTTTATTTCTCTTGACTCTCTTTCTCTCTCTCCGTCTTCGTCTCTCTTTCTCTCTGGTCTGTCTGTCTGTCTGTATCTCCCTCTCTCCTTCCCATCGTCCCTCCTTCATTCCCCCTCTCTCCTTCCTCTTTCTCCTTCCCTCCATCCCTCCCTCCCTCCCTCCCTTTCTTCCCTCTCTCTCCTTACCCTCCCTCCATCCCTCCAACCCTCCCTCCTTCCCTCCAACCCTACTTCCCTCCCCCCCTTCCTTCCCTCTCTCTCATTCCCCTCCCTCCTTCTCCTCCAACCCTCCTTTCCCTCCAACCCTCCCTCCTTCCCTCCAACCCTCCTTCCCTCCCTCCCTTCCTTCACTCTCTCTCCTTCCCCTCCCTCCTTCCCTCTAACCCTCCTTCTTTCCCTCCTTCCCTCCCCCATTCTCCCTCTGTCTTACTCACCTCACTCTCCCACGTCTTCCCCTCCGCCAGTCCCCCTCTGCATGGACGATTTCTACACGAAGGCCCCAATGCAAGTCTCAGGAGAAGGCATCTTAACTTTCGGAGGACCGTCGAACCAGCTGTTCCCAAATAATTCACTGCCGGGAGAAGAATATTCTATCATCATGGTAAGGTTTAAAGCTGCTTTATTGTTTATGTCCTGATAGATAATAAAGCTTTGTTGTTGTTAGTACTTGATAGATTTTTTTATATACTCTCATAGGAGAGTACGGTGCAGATATGTTGGCAAGTCTCTTTGTTCACTCGTAGTGATAACCTCTTTAAACATTATATTATTTCTTTTTATTCTTAAGTTTCCCCCTTTTTTAAGATACTTCATATTTTTTTTCCCAAATGATATGCTCTTTCCATTTAATATTTCGTCCTCTTCCCACCTTTTCCATCACTCTGTTATTGTTTCTATTCAGTGGCTCCATGGACTAGTATACCCGACCTAGTGCTTTAGTGAATTCGATCCTGTCTACTAGTACCCCGCGGAGGACCTATAGGTTGAGGTGATATAGGCAAATAGAGTACACTCAGTTTATTCATTCAATCATTCATTTTAACACTTTCCCCCCCGAACTCAAGGCTCCGATACACTCCACGATGACGGTGGGGTGCGCTGACCACACGAAGGGACTGTGGGACGACGAGGGCTACCTGGGCACCCTGAACGTCACTTGCCTTCAGGATGGCTCTTGGGACACCACCAGATTTCCCGAGTGTTACCAGGGTTAGTGGAACCTACGTTAGAGAGAGGGGGGGAGGGAGAGGGAGAGAGAAAGAGAAGAAGAGAGGGAGGGAGAGAGAAAGAGAAGGAGAGAGAGAGAAAGAGAAGGAGAGAGAGAGAGAGAGGGAGGGAGAGAGAGAAAGAGAGAGAGAGAGAATATATTATATATATATACATTTGTTTGTATGCGTGTATGTGTGATTGTGTGCATGTATATATGTATGTATTTATGTGTGTGTGTTTGTACATATGTGTATCGTACAGAATAATGGATATATAGATGGTTATTGAGACAGATGTAGATAACAACAGATGGATATAAATGTAGAGAGAAATAAGTAGAAAACTGAAAGATAAAGAGATCTGTCGAAAGAAACCATCAAGCATTAGAGAGAGAGAGAGAGAGAGAGAAAGAGAGAGAAAGAGAGAGAGAGAGAGAGAGAAAGAGAGAGAGAGAGAGAGAGAGAGAGATAAGAGAGGAGAGATAATTACTACAAACAGATTGCCAGTGAGGCTGCTAACACTCCCCCCCACTCGCCCTTCCTCCCCCCTAGCCTGCAAGACAGTGGTGGGCGAGAAGTGTCGGTTTCCCTTCTCCTACGGCGGCCTGACCTACGACACCTGTTCAGAGCTCAATGGCACCTCCTCTTGCGGGACAGTGTACTATGCAGACGACACCTACATAGGCGCGTGCGATATGAACGCCCAGTGCAGCAGCCAGTGCGGAGGTAGGTCTATGAAATTAGTTTTTTTTATGCCAAGATAATGCTTTTAGTCTCTCGTTTTGCACATATGTACGCACATGCATAAGTACAAGTAGCTCATCCTATATATAAATATATGTGTGTGTGTGTGTGTGTGAGTGTGTGTGTGTGTGTGTGTGTGTGTGTGTGTGTGTGTGTGTGTGTGTGTGTGTGTGTGTGTGTGTGTGTGTGTGTGTGTGTGCAGTATGTATGTGTGTCTGTGTGCGTAAGTATTTATTGCTTCATCAGGCCATACAAATGCGAAAAGGCCTTCGGCATATTCGTTTGTTTTCCTATACTTCCCTTCGTTGTTCTACTTGTAATTTGTTCGACATGAATTCTGCACGCGCGCGCGCGTGTGTATGTGTGCTCGTGTGTGTGTGGGTGTTTGTGTGTTCGTGTGTGTGTGTGTGTGTGTGTGTGTGTGTGTGTGTGTGTGTGTGTGTGTGTGTGTGTGTGTGTGTGTGTGTGTGTGTGTGTGTGTGTGTGTGGGTGGGTGGATGGGTGTGTATATATATAAACACTGTATTTCATTTCCATTACAACCAGGTGGCCCAGCCACCATGCTCAAATGCAACATCGAACTGGAGGTGGACACGCGAACAGTGCAACCCCTGAGTCTCAATGCCTCCTCCCCGCAAGTCACCGAAATAAAAACCGGGCTCTTCGAACTGAAGGTGAGTCGCGTTGCAAAGAGCATGAGATTTAGATGACCGGATGCAACGAGGACGGCGTTGATCGAGTTGGCAGTAGTGGGAAGGGAGGGCGACGATAAAGGATGTGTGAATGACGGCGCCCAGGAGGATCTAGTAGTTTTAATATCATTGCTGTTATTATTATTACTTTTGCTATAATTCTTCATTATTGTTATGACCATCATAATTATTATCGTTACTGTTAGTACTATTATGTTATTGATATCATCGTCATTATTATCATTATTATCATCATTACTATCATTATTATTATGTTATTGGTTTTATCATTATTATAATCATTATCATCCTTACTATTATTATTACTACTATCATAACCGCCGCGCAATGTTAAAATCAAAAATAGATCTCTCACCTACCCTGTATTTTCTCTCCAGGGTTGCGTGAACGAATTCCAGGTGCTGAGTTGCTCTGACCCTTCTGCAGTCATGACCCTTGGCCCAAGAGACTCCTTTGGGAACAGCGGCACTATCGACTGTCGCAAAGTCGGGTTTTACACAAATAATGATAGGTTATCCGATGGGAAAACATACCAGGTTTTCTGCATTCCTTCTACTACTACAAGTACGATCAGCTCTACATCTACTACAACTGTTACGACTACTTCTACTATCACTACGACAGCATCTACGACCACTACTGCTGTTCCTTCTACTACGACAACTGCTGTTCCTTCTACTACGACGACCACCGCTGCTCTCGGGTCTCAAACTACCACAGCTCTTGTTAATACAACCACCGAGGTCTCTGCAAGTCTGGTCACTTCCAACACCATGACTGACAGCACCACGCTGATTCCTGACAACAGTTCTGACAATGCGCTCGCCGCTGACAACAGTAATACGACGGCCAACCGTAAGTATACGTTTTATCATATAACAAGAGAATACAAGGTTTTTCCACCTTTCCTCGGTTCG